GATGGTCTTGGTGGAATATTTGATAATAAGTAGTATGTGAATGACTGGACAAAATTTCCCTGGAAGCACACGACCGGTTTCGCGGTTCTTGCCGCTCGTCAGGCATGCGTATCCGGTAATCTTTTGTCAGTTCATTCATATACTTGTACCCAGGAAGTGTATTTTCGTCACAATAACCTAGTTTGCAACGCCGGGTGACCACTGGATAGACACCATTGGATATATATATATACGATGACGTCAAAATGGCCGGCACAGACTTGCGGAGGGATTTATAGATAGTTCATCGATGGACTGTTCAGTGAGATCTGCCACTGAATCTCACCTAATGTCGGCTGTTGGCCGTCGAACCCAACACGTATTTGGTAAACGATCAACCGTTACAGCTGGCCTCACAGATGAGAGACCTCCGGATCATCATGAATCAACTTTAAGCTCTCAGCTCAGTGCCTCAAGGCAACGAACAAGGCTAGAGGGAAACTGTTTCGCTTATGTGCAATAGTCACTAGCAGACAACCGAATATTTTGATACCTCTATATAAGACCATCGTTTGTGTTCCAGCGTGGGCACTGTATTACAGGAAAGACAATTCTGAAAGGCTTATCAGGGCTCAACCTAGGTGATCTATTTAATCCAGCCCCTATGTACTGCACGAGTGGCCACGGTATCAAGCTGCAAAGGAATCACGCTTGACTGGAGATTCGAGCTAACTTCCTTTTACACAAAGTTACACCTATGCGGAACACGCTACCTGAAATAGTAAATTGTACAAGCGTCAACACCTTTAAGGCGGTACTAGATTACTGTTGGGCTGAGACGTTCCCGGAGGTCAGTATCTCAGACTGATTTATCTGGCGGGTACAACAAGATGCAATCCAAGGGACCTATAAAGTAAAGGGTTGCCAGATATAATGTATACGGTGCACAAGCCCCAAGAAACAGAGACTGCGCCATCTCTCTTCCCTTTCTCTAATTCCAGGTACCTCCGGAACGGTCACAGCGGTAACAATACCAACTTGCAGGCGAGTCAGTCCCAGGGAAGAACACGCCACTACCAGGATACTCCACAGGCGAAGACATCCTCACGTCTTGAAATTTGAACAGGCGAGATAATTTTCCCCTCATTATTTACAGCACCGGTTGTGAAGACCTCCATAATTGGAAACTGGTTTGGTCAAGAAGGAAACCATTTAAAAAAAAAATACGCAGTGTTGGAAGCACCAAGCATTCACCCACACAATGATTGTTAAGCGCCACACTTCGTATGAAATGTGTTCCTGAGACCACTGATCTGAACTAATTATCCACCGACCACCTCAGTGGAGCCCAAAAACACTTGAGGAACCACCAAGGCCCTGGACTATTGAGCTGTAACAATAACCCTCTCCTCACCCCCACCCACCCCCAACCCCGTGTAACTCTTCAAGGCTCCAAGACAACCTTGAAGAAATTTAGCGATGATTCAAGTGTAACAGCGAAAAAGAAGTCAGCTGCATAGTCTCCACTTTTTTTGAATGATTTTAAATACAAAATCGACTCAAATGATCATAAAATTCAGGGCGAAACTTTGTATCTCACGTCTCGATAATAGGATGGGAAAATAGTATTTTCGGAACTACTACATTCAGCGTTCGTCCATAATATGCCCTAGTTTTCAGTTCAGGGCGGACGTTACCATCCGTCAACCCCTCCTGAATCGCTTATTCCTGGTTCAAAAGCCAACCTGACTGCTTTGAACGTTTGGACTATTTTTTTGATATTTTTCATGTATATTTTTATGTGCATTACAACGAAATAAAGAAGTGTATTTCTGGTTTATTTGTTTTAATTGGTGACCTTGAAACATGTCGGACGGTTGTCTTGAAGTCTTGAAGTGATTCACGGGTTCGAGGCTGTTGCCCAAATGTCCCGGGTCCTTGAAAGGTATCTGTGTTTTCTTTTGGTTTGAATTACCACTAGAACAGAGAGTACTGAAAAGGGATTAGTAGGGTTCCCCGCTCGAGGCGAGAAATAAAATGAAGACTTGCGAACTCTTATATAAT